CATTTGAGAGTTTTAAAATAACTTGTGATATGAGAATTCAATTGTTTGATGAAAGCCAATTTGAGGGAATTCAAAATTTCCCGCCACCGATAAGTGGCAAGATGGTGTCGAACGGCGCTCGACACTCGAGAGAGGCGACGACAAGGTGAAGTACTTTCTCTCTGATAAATAAAGAAAGGCCCTTCGAATGAAGCGTTCTCCCCCAACGTATACCCATTGGTATTCCACAGAATTGGTGTAGTACAGCCCTGCTGCCCTGCATTTGCTATCAACTGCTATGGCCGCACTGGTGACGAATAAATATCCGCCATTTCTCACAAATAATCCTCGATAAAAAAAGTCGTTTATCCCGTATGAATGACTCGACTGGTTAATCCATAATTGTTGATTGTTGACGCCATCAGTGTGGAAAAAGGTTTGTGGTCGGGGGTGAGGCGAAATGGAAGAGAATCAAACATCGGAAAGTGTCGCTGTGCTACCGGACATGTCCGAATCGTTAACGAGCGAGACCGAGGAGGCGTCCAGCCTCTCGACCGAGCACGAAGCCCATCCTGTTGCTGTTGCAACTAATGTTGCTGCATTACCAAGTGTCCAGGGTGTACCTGTATCACTGCCCGTTGGCTCCATCATCGGTGTCTCCAATTCCAGCAATGGCACCACCTTCAACGTCATCACTTCCGATGGCCTCCAGGTATGTACCTTCATCTCCAACACCTTCAGCAAACTCCAACTCCAGATATTCATTCCCGACCCCACGACCCTGAGATCATTTTCAAAAACCAGCCATTCGCCCAATTTATGCTGCCAAATACAGGTTTTGAATATGTTTCTTTTATATATTTATATAATATTTATTTTCTGCCGATGAATATTTGTAACACTTGGAGAATTGGAATTTCATGGACAGTCGACTCATAATTTTTAAGTGTTCGGACTCGATTTAAGGGGAAAAATTCCAAAAGTTTGAATATCACGACAAAATTATTTTTATCTAGGTCAAGGACAATCTTTGATTAGGATTCTCGATTGTACACATCCTTTTATTAATTTTATAAATCCATTTATTGTTAAAATGTAAAAATACGTTTTATGCATGAATTAAACAACAATATGTACTTTTTTATTATTATTCACTATAAAAATTTATACACGACAAATAAAAATGGAATTAAAGCATGAATCAAATTAGGTTTTTAAGTTTTTTCTTAATTAATTTTTCTGTCAAAGGTGTCATAAATTCGCACTCAATTGTAAAAAAAAAATTGATAAAAGTCTCAGTTCCCCCGTCATTATTAGCCTGTTTGCATCATATACAAATGAATAAATTACTTGACCTTCGCAGCTACCAACGTCTGGTGAATTCAAGCAGATGCTGTGCGTGGATAATGGCTTCATCTGCGAGCCCCGACACGACAAAGACACAGACCCTCTGCGCTGGAATGGAGAACTCAAGGCGACTCACATCGTCATCCAGAACAGCCCAGAGGAAACCGAAACCGAACAGATACACGTGACAACAGCTAATTCCCAGTCAATCTGCAGTTGGTCAGAGTCTGCTAATATGGCAGTGCTGCCAGTGAGATGTAAAAATACAAATGCTGAGCTGCACAAGAGTCGATTTGGTTCAGGCGGACGTGGGAGGTGCATCAAACTTGGCTCTGACTGGTACACACCTAGCGAATTTGAAGCTGCCTGTGGTAGGGCCAGCAGTAAGGACTGGAAGAGGAGCATCAGATTCGGGGGCAGAAGTCTGCAGACACTTATAGATGAAAATATCCTCAAGCCCCACGCCACCTCCTGCACCTGTGCAGCTTGCTGCGATGATGACAGTGCGGTCAGTTTTATTTTTTCACATGATCCTTATTTATTGAGGAAATTTTGAGGGGAAGAGAGTCCATGGAATTTCAAATCTCTCCGAAAATTCAAGTAATCGGTTTTTGGAAGGCAGAATTTATCATTTACGTGAATTTTCGAGTGAACATGCATATTCATTGCCAAATTTCCTTGATTTTTTCTTTTTCTTTGGTAGTTGATTGAGCATTTTGTATTTTTGTATTTTTCAGACAGGACCAGTGCGCCTGTTTACCCCCTATAAGCGTCGGAGAAGAGCCCGGGAGATTTCTGACGGTGAGACCCCATCTCGAAAAATAAAGAGCGACAATTCCCGAGACGGTAGCAACAACGACGAGAGTGACAACGAAACAGCTGTGGAAGGGAAAGACGTGTGGCCACAATTTGTGGAGAATCTCGTGGTGCACCAGGGGGCGGAGCACGACCAGGTGATACAAGCGGTGCACACAGAAAACGGACAGAGTGACGATGTCTTCAAAAAGTTGGACGACATGTCCACGAAGATGTTGAAGCTTGCTTATGAGTTCAAGAGGACTGTCGAAGAGGCTAAGGAGATCAACAGGCAGCAGAGGAGGGAGCAGGCACTTGTGGCTCAGCTGGGGGGCAGGGGAGACGTCATCGAGACGGTTGGCCTCCAGCCAGCACCCAATTCCCATAATAAAAAGGTAATTCATGATTTTTCTATCTATTCTTTACTCTTCGCACTTGGGATTAAAAAAAAATTACTTCCGAAGAAATTTGAAAATTAAATTATTTGTTCTGTTGAATTATCACTCGCAGTGCGCAAATTGCAATCGTGAGGCGTACGCCGAGTGTTCCCTGTGCAGACGCACCCCCTATTGCTCAACATTTTGCCAGAGAAAGGACTGGGGTAGTCACCAGGTGGAATGCGTACGAGGAGCCGCTGAAACAGTCATGTTAATCGTCGAGAGCAGCAGTGCAGACACCGGATCGCTGGCACGTGGTGGCGATGATCAATAGTTAATGATTTTTGTCGATGATCCCAGTGGAGATACCACTACACGTGAAATGCAAACTAAAGGTGATGCATTAATTAATTCGGAGAATAATTAGACGGATTTCTTCGAAGGGAATAAATACTGTATATAAATATCATTTGTATGGGACAGACGAGATACTACTGTCGGGCTGGTGAAACAACTCTTTCACTATTATGTAGATCCAGCTGAGTCTGATAATATTTTTAGCACGTAATTTTTTCATGTCGATTTAAGGTTGAGGTAAACTCGATGTATATACCTTGAGAAATTTAGGCACGTGCTCGATGAGGTCAGGAGCAAGTGAATTGATAAATAAAGAATTCAACATTGAATTGTTATTTTACCATTGTTTCCTATTTCTAACGAAATATAAATCCAAAATACTTGTAAAAAATTGAGCAACAATAGTTTATTACCTCAATAATTCCCATAATGTTTAAGTCTGTACAAATACGCATTATTTTTATTATTCGTAATTCCCATATATCCACTGTTGGGTGAAAAATCGATGTCCAGAGGATTATGCATGACTGTCTGAAAAGTCGGAAAATTGGAGAAAACATTCAACGACGGGAGATGGAGCATCCTGAAGGCGTTCTCCTTGTGGAGAGAGGCCATGGCCAAAATTTCTGACGTTGGATTGAACCTCAGGGCTGAGATGGGAGTCACCAGGTTCAAAACGATCTTCAGAGGCTGAGGCAATCTACTCTCGAGGACATTTTTCGTGTCATAAACGTTGACGACCCCCTGCTTGCTGCCAGTTGCCAGGAATTGCCCACTGGGAGAGACAGCGATTGCCCCCGAGGCCAGACACCCGTCGTCCACTGCTCGATGAATGCATCTTCTGCTTTTCATGTCCCAGACGTAGATCTCCTCGCTGTTTCCGTGAGTTATCAGTGTTTTACTGTCCGGGGTGAAGGCCAGGGTGTTACATTTGCTATTCATCTTTATTGTGGCTATCAATTCTTTGGTGAGACCACTCAGAAGGTAGATTTCTCCAGTTCTTCCAGCAACTGCCATTATTTTTCCATCGGGAGAGACCTCGAATTTCTGGAAACGTTTCAATAATAATTTTCCTTTAATAAATATTTTGAAATTTATTAAAATACCTTAGCATTAGTGACAGTATGTGGCAGCTGTGCTTTGTACGTCTTTCCACTCATCAGATCATAAATCTGACAGTAATTCTTGTATTTGGACCCGAGGACGATCTCAGTGCCATCCTTCAAGAACCTGGCGCAGTCCACCGGGAATTTATCAAACCGGATACTCTGAAGTTTCTTGTTCTCCTTCCCATCGATTTGAAAAATGGAAACAACTCCAGCAAGACCAGCCGCAAAGGCAACCGTCGAGGTTTGATGGAATCTGAGATTTGTAACGAAGGGCCCCTCGTTCTGTGTTTCGCTGTTTATATTTTTTAGGGCTTTAATCTCTATCACTCCCTTCGCCAATTTTTTCGTCTTCAGTGAGGCCAGGTGATTGCTGTGCTTCAGCACCTCGTGTTCAGAGTCAGAATCCCCTTCCTCCTGGGATTTTATTTCTGCCCATTTGGGAGTGCCAACTAATTTAGTGAATTTATTCTGGAGATATTCCTGCAGGTACGTCTCAGGTCTGTGCTTTATGTGCAGTCTTGGGTTCGCCACGTCGTTTAATCTGGAAAATTTTATTGGGTCATGAAAAAATGAAAATGCAGTGAAAAAAAGATATTACTTGTAGGTTTTGTCGTCCGGATCCACCCAGGCAGCTCCACTCTCTTCAACTTCATCAGACTCAGCCCCAGAACTCTCAGTATCATCTGCCTCATCTTCAGATTCACCTGAAAATTCCTGGAGTTCACCTGCAGGTGTTTCTTCCTCAGACTCTTCAGCCTCTTCTTCGCTGGTATTTTCTTCTTTCTCTGAGTCCTCATCTTCATCATCCACTATCTCATTTTCCTCTTCTTCATCTTCCTCCAGGAGCTTCTCGATGACGTCCTGTCCATCCCCAAAGACAACTCTCTCTAACCTATAAAAAAATCCATGAGTCGCCGCTACTGAAGTCCCTCTGAAGAAAAAAATTACCTGGCCTCCTCCTCCGAGTCGTACTGCAGCTTATGCCTCTTGACAGGTGGCCCTGACGTGCTCATCATCCCCAGGACTCTACAAATCTCGAAAAAAAACGCGAACAAACCCACAATCAACAAATCACACGTGTCCCATTCATTCCTTCAAAAAAAAAACATAAAACACTGTCCAATCAGAACTAGCAACCAGTCATTTTCATCGACTAATCGAAGAGATCGACATTTTCTGGAAGAAATTCGATCATTCAATCCCCGACTAATCGTTTTTCAAACATTGTTCTCTTCCCACTAACAAATCAATTTTCTAATGCAAAAAATAGTACTGTCATTGATTTATTGTTATAATCAGTGATTACTTCATAAACAATTGGTATTTCTCGATAAAAATTAATTTAATTTTCTTTTTCCATCAAATGGTTTTGTCGACATAAATCGATTATGGGAATGATCCGAGAATATCGATATGTTGGAAAAACGATGACAGGGACTTTGTTCATGGGAAATCCCTAGTCTCAGTGCTGCAACCCCTCGGCATCTTGAGGTTATGAATAGTTGAAATAGCGGGAAACGCGTTCGCCTACTCTCGGAGCCGAAGCTTCTGGAGTGAAATTCAGCGATCTCCATCACACCCACAATCAGCCCCAAAAAATCTAACTGAAATCCCCAAAAAATTCTACTGAACCCCGGAGACCTGATTTGACCCACCCTTCGACCCCCCATTTTTCCCTCCGAAATAATCGAATAAATTGAGCCACGAGTGGGCATCCGCGGAGTCGCCTCGGCCTGCATTTTTTTCTAACCGATAAAAAAAAAACATTTATTGGAATCAGTGGTCAAGTAAATAATCACCGAGCCTTCTATCACTCGGATTATGACCGAGAGAAGCTGGAGTGATGACACGATCAGTTGTTGGAGAACCTGATCAGGATAATCAGTCGGACGTACCTGTGCAGAAGTGCTTCGTTCCAGGGGAGACCAGCAAATTAGCTAAAAACATGGATTCAGCCAGCAATGGCATCACCACGAGGTATGGTAGAGCTGTGAAGCTGGTACTCTCTGGGGAAGACCACAGGGTGAGTGTATTTATTTTACGTTATTATGTAGTTGTCTATTTTTCTGTTATTTCTAGTCGAGAGATCGTGGGGATTGGGATATCGAACGTCTCGGAATTTTTTAGAGCTCGAGGGAAAAACAACGATTTCGGTTCACTGTTGATTTGGCGTGAGCAAGAGTGATGGACCGGGGAAATTTCACTCGATAGTCGATTAAAATCCATAATTGACTCTAGATTAATCCTAGAAAAGTCTTGGACGGAAAAATACGGACTTACGAATTGTTATGGCATTTACTGTCAATGATTGCGGGAGGAAATTCATTTAATAATTAACTCTCAGTAATTGAAATTAATGACTCAAAAAATTCGAATTATTCATATTAAATTATGACACTCGGTGAATAGCTCCGTAAATAATGAAATATTTTTCGATTTTTTGACGTTTGCAGCCCCTGAAAATATCGAAGCCCCCAGTGACGGAATCTCCAGTCTCTGTGAAGTCCGAGGAATCTGACAATGGGGCGACTCCAGAGACTGGGGATAAGAATAAAATAAAAGAGGAAAAGCCTGAGGAAGATGTGCATGAAGTGAAGCAGGAGCCCCCGGTGGAGACACTGAAGCTTGAGGGACCAGAGCCCAAGGAGGAGATGGCCAGCAGCTCTGTGAGTGACGAGACAACAGAAAATGGCCGATGGGCTGTTGGGCAATTGGCATGGGCGCATGTTAGCAATTATCCTTACTGGCCCTGCATAGTCAGCGATGATCCTGTCGAGGATACCCATTTGAAACAGAAACCGCGTGGCCAGAGGATAATGAAAATGGTGCACGTGACGTACTTCGGTGACAACGGCCGTCATAATTGGGTCAACGAGAGTGCCCTGATGGAGTTTAAGGGTTTGGATGATTTTAACGCCCTGGCAGCTGGCCTATTGAAAGGCAGGAAGAAGACAACGAAATTTAACTCAGGTTTCCTAGTAAAAACCGTGATAAAAAACAAATGGGACACAGCAGTGACAGAAGCGGAGGTGTTGCTTCCATTGCCCATGGAGGAGAGATTCAGAGCAATGAATCCAAAACGAAAAAGAGGTCGGCCCCGCCTGTCAGAGGATTCAGCGGCCAAGAGGCCAAGACTGGAGGTCTCCCAGTCCCATAAGAGCCTGGAGGGTGACACAGAGAGGATAAAAACAAGAAGGAAATCCTTCGAGGAGATCAATCTCACCTCAGACACACCACCAACACCTCCATCGAGCATCAAAGACTCGAGTGATGAGTCGTCAATAGGAAAAAAACACAAGAGACAAAGGAGAACGACAGCAGAGAAAAACGAGGACTTCGAGAATTACTACAACCTGAGCAAAGACAACAAGGAGTATGTTCCAAGTGGTAGTGAGGAGTCCATCAGGGAATACCTACGAGGTGTGTGGGACTCCATGACTCCCTACGCCCGCAGTAAATACAAAAAACATCCGAATGATCTCCACTCAAAGGAGAAATCTTCCACCCCAGAGGGAGATGCCGCAGAAGTGCCCTCCACTCGAAAATCCAAGGGCTCCAAAGACCCCAAAGACTCTAAAGAATCCAAGGACAAGCTAGACATCTCCATAGACTCAGTTAAACGTCCGAAGCAAACGAGTCTCTTCAAAGGTGTCAAGGCCGAGCGAGTCTGTCAAATCTGCGAGAAAGCAGGAAATCTCACTCGTTGCAAGGGCCCCTGCTACTCTTATTTTCATTTGAAGTGCGTAAAACCTGGTGAATCAGAGTCAGAGTGTGATGACGAGGACACGGACAGTGGATCGACAGCTAGTGAAAAAAAATCGAGGGACGAGGCCCTCGAGGAGGAGACATTCAAGTGCATCGATTGTCTATCTGGTGTGGCACCAGCTTGTTTCGTCTGCAACGAGAGGGAAGACGACAGAATTAGATGTGGTATTGCAACATGTGGCAAGTACTATCACTCAAAATGTCTGAAGGTATGGCCTCAGTCTCACTGGCACGGTGGACGTCTAACGTGTCCATATCACATGTGTCACACGTGTATATCTGACAATCCCCAGAATCATCACCTGAGAATTCCTCACGACAAGCTGGCAAGATGCGTCAGATGTCCATCTGCTTATCATGCATCAGCCCAGTGCCTCCCAGCTGGCTCCCAAATTCTCACGAGCATCCAGGTTGTCTGTCCCAAGCACTACGTGGCACCCCATCCACCACTCAATGCTGCCTGGTGTTTTCTCTGCACCAGGGGTGGCTCATTGATCTGCTGTGACACCTGCCCCACATCATTCCACCCAGAGTGCCTGGGAATCGCTGCACCTGATGGAGCTTTCATCTGCGAGGACTGCGAAACAGGTAGACTGCCACTTTATGGTGAAGTCGTCTGGGTGAAGCTGGGGATGTATCGTTGGTGGCCATCACGAATATGCTATCCCTACGAGGTCCCTTCCAACCTGACAGCAGTCGCCCACAGTCCTGGGGAATTCTGTGTCATGTTTCTTGGGACTAAGAACTACTACTGGGTCCATCGGGGTCGGGTATTTCTTTATCAGGAGGGGGACACGTACGCGAGAAATCGTATTGGAACGAAAACAGTGGATAATGCGTATAAACGCGCTGTTTTCGAGGCAAATGAGCTCCACCAGGAGGTGAAGAACGAGAGGGCTGCTGCCAAGGAGGACGAGTCCAAGAGGTACCTCAAACCACCTCCCTATGTCAAGCTCAGGGTGAATAAACCAGTGGGTAACGTCAAGCCCATGGAGGTGGAGAGCATGGTTGCCTGTGAGTGCGATCCCAACTGGGAGGATCCCTGTGCTCCAGACAGTGATTGTCTGAACAGAATTCTCTCAATCGAGTGCAATCCGACGATATGTCCAGCTGGATCAAAATGCAATAATCAGTCATTTGTGAGGAGAAAGTACCCATTGATGGAGCCATTTCACACAACTGGCCGTGGCTGGGGTCTCAGGGCTCTGGAGGCTATCAGAAATGGACAATTTATTATTGAGTATGTGGGAGAAGTCATTGACGAGGCTGAGTACAAACGAAGACTGCACAGGAAGAAGGAGATGAGGAATGAGAACTACTACTTCCTGACCATCGATAATTTCAGGACCATTGATGCCGAGCCCAAGGGTAATCTCAGCAGGTTTATGAATCACTCGTGTCAGCCCAACTGCGAGACCCAAAAGTGGACGGTCAATGGGGACACCAGGATCGGTTTGTTTGCTCTCAAGGATATTGATAAAGGAGAGGAACTGACTTTTAATTATAATTTAGCCACTGAAGGAGAGACGAAAAAACCCTGTTTATGTGGTGCCTCCAATTGCTCTGGGTACATTGGGCTGAAGGCACAGAAGCCACAGCTCAGCGTTGTGCAGCAGACCAAGATCGAAAAAGCTGAGAAGGTCAAACGCCAGAGGAAGACTTCCAAGAAGATCCACAAGTGCTGGACTTGTGGAAAAGTTATCTCCGGGGACAGCTTCATCGAGTGTGGTATGAAGTCCTGCTGCAAGAGGTATCATACGAAGTGTGTGAAGAGAGCGGACAGGGAGAGGGTCAGGTGTTCCTGGCATCACTGCAGGGAGTGCGACAAGAGAACATCGATCAGATGTTTGTTGTGCAGTGCAGCCTATTGCCAGAGTCATCTCGAGGGTAAGATGGTGGAGAGGAAGGATAAGAATGGGTATCTCTGTAAGGTCCATGAAAATTCCATGGGGGAGGGCGAAGCATCTCCTGAGGATAGTGGCACTGTCACTCCTGAAGATAGTAGATCAACTCCTGAGGATCGGGGAGAAAATTCTGAAGGCAGTGTAGCGACTCCTGAAGATAATGGAGCAACTCCTGGAGACAGTGGGGCTGTCACACCTGAAGAGCCTTCTAATGTACCTCGAGAAGATCCTAGAAAGAAAGGTAGTCAGAAGAAAAAAAATGGTGAGAATAAAATTGAGAGGATAGAGCACGATGCAGCACCTGCAGATGTGCCTCGAGATAAACCTGAGATGGCGAATGATTCGAAGGGTGTGGGGAAGGAAAAAGGTGATCTGGGAAAAGAGGGCAAGGTGAAGGTGCTCCAGGATGTCGACCAGGGAGATATCAAAGATGAGGAGGTCCAAGTGATGGAGGTTGATGCGGTCCAAGTCAAGGAAGTGGAGGAAATTCAAGTCATGGAGGTGGAGGATGACTCGAAGGATGAGGTTCTATCGATACCTGAGACGAAGTTCGACTCCGATGAGGAATTTGACGCAGCCTCATTGTTAGCTGATTCTGATAGCTCAATTAGGGATGAGGATGTCATTCCACCCAGGGTTTCCATCATCCAGGTAAATAAAAAAAAAATATTAAGATGTCAAATAGTGTTTAAAAAAAAGAAAGGAGTAAATAATTGGATAAATATTTTTAGATCGATTTAAGTGATGAAGATGATATGAAACGAGATGAAGAGATCGATATTAAACCGGAGGATGAAGACATCGATGGGATGGATCTTCAGGATATAAAAGAAGAGGACATCGTGCCTGCTTCAGTGAAGAGAAGACAAACCCTGCGTAATCACCAAACTCATCGAATAATCAGTGGAGTGGTGCCATCCTGAATACACTGCCCTGAAAATAATTAATAAGCTACTGATAATGTAATTTTTCTGTCGAAATCATGATGTACTGTTGATAATCAATAATTATTTTTAAGGTTTCCCCATATTTTTTCCCGTTTTTTTATGCCCAAATAGAAAATTGTTCTCGTTGATGATTTCGACACCGATTTGATGTACATACTCTTATTTATATGTTATGATTGCATTCTAAGATTTCAATATTCTAAGGTTTATTGCATAATCTAGGCATTTTCAATTGATGGAACTGTGAAACCTGCGGACAAATCAGTCTCGAGGTGATTAACTTTTTTTGTACCAATTAGTATTATCGTAGCGGTTTTAGTCAGTTAATGTGGTAGGTGAAACGAAATCGATTTTCAATACACAATTTTGGAGAATAAAAGAATTTTATCTTAAAATTATAATAATCGAATGTAAATTTTTCCAGAAACCTATTCTGATCCTGCAATAAATAATTTGATCTCTGAAATGAGTGGTTTATTATATAATTTATGTACATGATTGTAATTAATATCAATAATACAGAAGCGCCATTTCCAAATAATCAGTTAATGTGTATTTTACAGTGAATTATTAATAAATTCATTTTTAAATATGATTAACATATTTTGCCGGGTAATGGAGGAATTCTTCAATACTAAAAATAATAAACAGATGCAACCAACGAGAGTACAAAAATTTGATAGAAAAACCCAAAGTTTTTCCTATTAATTTTTTATGGATACACTACACCTGTATCGAATACAATTAGCCTAAATTAAATATAAATATATATAATATACATTATACAGTTTTTGAACAGATCTCAACATTTGCTCATCGTTTATCAATCCTGGAAGTCATGAGTGAATATATGAAATTGCCCCAACCATCAGCACCTATAAACCAGTTATTCTTCAGCAATTATCCCTTCCATAATTCTGATACAACTTGGGGCTCTCTTGGATGTCAGGGCTCCTATCAGTCGAAACAGTGACATCCGAATTAGTGGAGATGATCTCCTCAGTGATGCAGTTGCCATATTTCTTCCTGAGAACAGGAGCAACGAAGTTCTGCCCAGTGGAGAGATCCCTCTTGGGTGGTTGAACCTTGGGCTTGGAAGCAGGAAGTGTGGCGCCAGTAACGAGCCCCAGAATACTAGCAGCGAGACCACTCAACTGAAGAGCAGCAAGAGGCGATAGACCCCTCCTGACGAGCCCCAGAGCGAGAAGAGTCGTCTGAGCGAGGACAGGAGCAGCACCGGCAGCACCGGCAGCTGCACTTGCAAGCTGTCCTCCACCTACACTGGGCCCATAGGCAAAGCACAAGTTGTGTCGATCGACGACGTGCTTCACGAGCATGTACATGAGACCGAAAGGAGTGATGAGGGGACAGCTGACACTGTAGACAGTGGTCATGGTGAATACTAGGAGTATCCAGGCGTAGTGAGCACCCAGTGGAAATTCCCAGAGGACTGCCTTCCTCACGTGAATCCTCTCAGCTCGACTCCTGGCTATACACAGCCTGAATGTGTACAGGGCCAGCTCAGAAAAACGTACGAGCTCCAGGGCACAACCCAGGAGTGAAGCTGTGATTACGTAGTTGACGAAGAAGGCGCCCTGGTCAGCGAGAAAAACACACTCCCAACGATTCGTCTGATTCCACAGGCCAGTCTTGAAATCCACAATTGCCTGGGCACTCGTCAGCCCCAGGCTGGGCAGGATCAGCACCATCAGTAGGAGTAGCATCAGTGTCTTCCTCATGACAGCCCTGTTCAGGCCACTTCTCGTCCAGTGTCGAATCATTGTCTCACATCTGCCCACCAGTGCTGGCATCAGAGCTGCTATACTCACCAGTAGAACAGTTGGGAGAAAAGAAGAGAGCACTGGACTCAGGCTCATCAGTTTGGGAAAAATTGGGATCTGGTTGAGAATTGAGACAATGTACACTGGGGTCGTCAAGAAAAAGAGGGTGACGAATAAGGCTATATTGATGAGAACTGCGTTGAGGTACCAGCACTGCCTGGGGATACACAGATTTTCCCAGAAGATGTCTGATGGAGCTGGGGCGTAGTCCACAATCCACTTGATGGCTGGGGCTGAACGCAGCGATCTTCGCATTGATCTGGCTGCACCTGGGGTACCCAGTGTGACAAATGCCACTCCCAGGGGCTGACTCAGCGCCACTTTACGTTCCTCCTCCACCAGAGCTGTCAAACGGATCTCCTCCGTTGTGTAGAACTCCAGGGCATCCACCGTCTTGCAGCAGCACCCGATAACCTGACCACAGGGATATGGATAAAGCTTCAATGGCTCTTTCTTCTTGTTGTAGCTCTCGCAGTAGAGTCTCGCCTGTTCAGCGCAGTCCCTCTCCAGGTTTAATGCAGATAGCCGTCGAATGTCGTGTGCCAGGGTGACGTTTTCCACTGTCAACGTCGGAAATGCCTCTTCGAAGTAACGGGTAAGGCCCTCAGCGTTGCACTGGTGCTTGGGAATACCACTGATCAAGAGGGTTCGAGCTGCCAATTCACCTGAGGGTCGGGCGTCACGGACTTTTTTTATAAAACGTCGCATCACGAAACTCCCGATGGGGAGGTACGACAGGATAATTATCGTGTGCATCCAGATCCAGGAGGACTTGGGATCGAGGTTCGAGAGGGTCGTGTGACTGAATGTCTCGTTGGAGTCTCGCATTGTACCCGAATAATTGATGGGAAGTGCTACGCACAGGGAGACAACTGTCATCATCGCCACGAGAATTATCAGGTGACGCTGGAAGGAGACATACAGGAGACCGTCAGGACCTGCACGTCGGTACAGCTCCTTATCACTGCAATTTTTTAGGGATTATTTTTATTCTATGCCTTTTCATAAAGACTCTACTTAAATTAATTACAATGGATCATCCAATTGTGCAGTCAAATTTGACTTAATTATTGGATTAAGATTTTTGAAGGGAATTTCTCGTTTAATTTCTGTCGTGTTTTTTTTTTTTTAATTGTGGAGTTGAATTGGAAATTGGAATTTTCCGATAAAATTGTAGTGAAGGCAAAACGGTTGCAGCCCATTAACAGTTTGATTCATTATTATTTTTAAAACGATCTGCTCACGTGACTCTGAATGCAGTGACGATCCACGAGAAGAAACCTCTATCAATCTGAGATAATTGCGTATTAATGGACGCCTCCACCGCTGTCACGTCAGCCTCATTGCCATCGTTATCTCCATAAAACAATTCCATCCATCTATTATCGGTTTTATGGAGAAGTGCCAGGCGTCCATAATTCCAGGCTTTCTTCCGGAGGAGTCCGAAAAGTATAACTAAACTCTGCGGAAAAATTCACGCTGTCAATTCGGTAATGGTCAATTATCTACACTGCTGGAAAATTGCTCTCGAAATTCGAGGTAACGAGTGTTAAAACGAGCAGAAACTATTACCTTGGAACAAAAGTAAAAAAAACTTCAAACGTGTGAATAACAATCTAAAAATAATACAGTAAATACGATAAATAAAAATGGGACTCCATTAAATTAAGTTTTGTTAAACACCGATTTAATTACAAAAAGACTGATCTTACGAGGAAACATCACGAGGGATTTTTTATCGGAAATTTAATCATTAAAAAGTCATTTATCATTTCCATGTGATATAAACAGCTTTTGATATAAATAAAAAATCAATTACAATCAGTAGCAAAGAGGCTAAATGTAGAAGTGGTCATTTTTCGAGGAATATCTCCGAATCTGTGAGATAAACCGAAAATTTTGTCAGGACCTCTTTTAAAAAATAAAATGTATTTCCGTCGGATTCAAAGATATTCTTCAAAAATTGACATGTGCGTTGAATTGACTTGTTACTCTCTACCTCTTTGTTACTGAAATGTCAAATTATCCCACTAGCTCATTTCGCTTTTCACTTCACTGAAGATTTAATGATTTGTTAAGAACGCCGATAATTTGCAAGCAACAATTATGTAAATTCCTAGGGATTCCCAGCAGTGTAGAAAAATCATGAAGGTCATTGTCGTACCAAAAAACCTATTGAATTGAAGAGTAGATTCGCTGGAATGCCAGCGTAAACGTTAGGTATGATAGTCACATTGTGCCTGGGTACAGTGATACATGTAGCTGATGATGGTGGCTCATGATAACTATAGCTACAACAGTAATTAAAAAGTAAATAAATAAAAATGGCATTTCCCCGATTTCACTGTGAGTCATGATTGCTCCAGAATAGTGAAAGTTATTTTGATTACAAATATTCCATTCCAATGCAATAGTGACGGATCGATGAGTAATATATAAAACTCACTTGTTGAAATCCTCCCAAGGCATTTTGCAATAAATTAATTAGTAATTTATTTATTTAACTTCGCCGCACGATGACAGCATTCTACCTGGACGATACGTCAACTTGGCATATTGTTCAGGAGAATTCTTCTCTGAGTTCTTTATTGTTAGCTTTTTTCAACACTACTGCCCCCTGACTCTACAAATATTCAACCTAACCTGACCTGACAGTTCTCCGCTCTTACGCATGCGTAGGTGTGGATTATTTAGGCTTCAGGCGTTTTCATCAGGTTCGATTTCTTGTGGATTATATCGGGATCTAAGGGAGATATATAAGAATTCCCCTATTTCCAATGCTCTCGTTATAATTCGACAACTTGCAATAAATTCCGCGAGAAGTAATTGAGTAATTAGAAATTAATTTTCGGGATTGAAGTCGTGAGTTTTTAATTAGGATTTTCTATTGATATTCTCCATAACGTATTTTTACAATCTAAAAGCAATAAAAAATTGATCAGGTTCATGATAAATAGGGACCCTGAGGCCCCACGCCATGAAAAAATATTTCTGACTCTTTGTATAATTTACAACGACTTAATTATCGTCATCCGCGAACTCTTGACTCGCAAGAGCGTAAAAATACGAGTTCTCGTCATCGATCAGTACATTTGGTTCATCGAACTCCAACACCTGACCATCTCCCATCACCAATACCCTGAAACAAATAAAAAATCTACAATAATTAAAATTCTCCATTTTGCCATTGCATTGAATTTTCATTTCCTGAATTATCAAGACGATTTTCTTTTACACAAAAATTCATTGAAGAATCAAAATAAAAATTCACCTATCACAGTGCATAATAGTTCTAATCCTATGCGCAATGGTGATCACAGTGGCACTCCTGAAGGAAGACTTGATAGTGGTCTGAATAGCCTTATCAGTCTCGTGATCGACATTGGCAGTTGCCTCATCGATGCAGAGAATCCTGGCATTATGCAAAATAGCCCTGACAAGACAAAAAAGTTGTTTCTGCCCAGTGCTGAGATTTCCCCCATTCTCGTCGACAACAGCACCAAGTCCTCCTAGCCTCTGGACCAAAGCGCTGAGCTTGCACCTCTCGAGGGCTTTATAAATCTGCATATCAGGATACTGCTCGAGTGGATCGACATTCTCCCTTACAGTTCCCGAGAATAAAAAGGGATTCTGAGGAATAATACAGAGACTAGCCCTGAGGGCATAGAGCTGAAGACTCCTGACATCGACGTTGTCAATGAGTATTTCCCCAGAGTGAATCTCGACGAGCCTGAAGAGACAATTAAAAATCGAGCTCTTACCGGCTCCAGTCCTCCCCACAACACCAATTTTCTCAGCTGGTCTTGTCTTGAATGAGACCCTGTTGAGAGATGGCATGAGGTAGTCCCTGTATTTGAGGACAACATCCCTGAATTCAACGACACTCTGACTTGGCCAGGCATAGGGTGGATTGTCCCCAGTGATTTCCTCAGTGGGTACATCCTGGAAATACTGTTTGATCCTCTCCACTGATATCATCTCCCTCTCAGTCTCAGTGAAGACATTGACAACACCAGAAAGAAGCCCAGTGACACCCAGGGCATACGTGATAGCGAGTCCCACGAGTCCAGGGTCTGCAACATCGAACTGATGCTGAATCACAGCTAGAATACAGACTCCAGCGAGCAATGCAATTCCCACAAACTGGAGCCTCAGGGCGAGCCACTGTGCAGCAGCGAACGATGCGAAATTCGCCTTCTGACTGGCCTCGAGGAACAGCTCATTATCATGTACAAATCTTGAGACAACCCTGAAGGCTCGAATGACACTCAACCCCTGGAGGGTCTCATTGAAATGAGTGTAAAGAGGTGACAGAGAAGTGCTGGAGAGTCTCTTGAGCTCTCTGGAGGTGAGCCTGTAGTGATTCTGGAGCCAGTGATAAACGGGGACCAGTGGTGCAAGCACCAGGAATATCCAGGGAAGTCCGTAAGCCGTGATGATGACAGTTCCAGCAAGTGCAAATACCTGAGCAAGAAGAATATTCGAGACGAAGGGTAATGAGTCGTCAACGGTGTAGGTATCTGAGGAGAATCTGTTGAGAATTCTCCCAGTGGACTGACAATCGAAGAAGGCCTTCTTGGCCCTCATGACGATCTCCAGGAGCTGTTCGTGGACAATTACAGCAGCATGAATCCCTCCATAGGCGAACATGAAGGCTCTGATGAGTGTGAAGAAGGTATTGGCTAGTGCCAGGACAGCGTAGACTTTCAGGTAGTCATCGGGGATGTTGTCACCCCTGAAGGCAGCCTCGAGTTTTCCCCTGGGTGTCATCGTGGAATTGGTGGCGTTGATGTGAGTTACCCAGAAGGAGAGCCACAGGTCACTGACATTTTTCGATGACTGCATCAGGAGCATCGAGAGGAGTATGCAGATTGCCAGGAATTTTCCAACAGCATTTAAATACGTCCCATAAACACCGAGCCTTACAGTCCCCTTCTCCACGGCTTCGTCCTCCAGCATTGGGTCTCTGTCCACGTCATTGGCGTTGATAGAGTCGTCGTTGAAAAAACCCTTGGCCTTCCTCCTGGTCTTTTTATTTTTCTCCTCACTCGACTCGTCAACGGAATTCGAGGACAGCAGATAGTCCTCCAAATCTGGAAGGATCTCGGTTGGCAGCCCCTGCTTGACGATCCTTCCCCTGGCCATCTCCACAACGCAGTCAGCGTGCACTAGGTACTTAGTCTGGTGTGTGCAGATGATCCTTGTCTTCTCTTTCAGCATACCAAGGACGACATTCTGGAAAATATGTTTAGCAACTCTGGTGTCGAGAGTAGCTAGCACATCATCGAGGAGATAAATCCCTTTGTCGGCGTAGACAGCGCGAGCCAGAGATATCCTGGTCCGCTGTCCTCCGCTGAGAGTACTGCCAGCCTCTCCCACAGCAGTTAAATCCTTTTTGGGGAGGGAGACGAGGTCGTCGTCGAGGGCACACGCCTTGAGGACATTTCTGTATTTATTGTGATCGTAGGCTTTTCCGAAGAGGATATTTTCGCGAATGGTGCCCCGTTGGAGCCAGGGACTCTGCCTGACGTAGGCGAAACCCTTGTCCAGCTCGCTGACGGCCACGATTCCATTTGACCTGGTGATCTCTGCGAGGAGACCCTCCAGCAGAAGGGACTTGCCCCCTCCGACCCGCCCCATCACTCCTATCAACTGGCCCCTCTTCACCTGGAGGTTCAACCCCGTCAGACTGAATATTTTATCCCTCTCGAAGGGTTCTGAATTTCCTGACCTCCTGGAGGAACTCGACGGCTCCTGAGACGTCGAAGGTATTTGCCTGATCTCATCCAAATTCTCTGGACTCTTGTCCTCCTCTCTGTCATTTGCACTGAACGTCGCGTTGTTGAGGACGACATCGTACCCGATGGGTGGGTCTGAGTAGTACGTCGACACATCGAGGTCAGTGAGATCGAGCAACCTCTGGATCCTCTTCACGGATACCCAGGCCTCTGTCAATCCATTGAGCACCCAGGGGAAGGCATTCAGGGGGCCTATCAACATATTCAAGAGAGCCATACTCGTGAAAACGGTCTTGGCGTCGAGGGTATTCCCCAGGAGGACATACGTTCCAAATGTCAGGATTGATATCAACACTGGAGTTGTCGCCCAGAAGTAGACGCACAGGGCGTCGAGGTACTTCCTACCCCTGAGGAATTTTATCTCTCCTTCCCTGAGCTTGAGGATTTCAGTGAGGAAGTGCTCCTCCCAGACGTTGAGTTTGATCGTCGTCATCCCTCGGAGTATCTCACCCATGAGGCGAACCCTCTGATCCTTGAACTCCATCATCTTCGTGCTCAAAACGCCAATTTTACTGGCAATAAATTTATTGATGGGAATGAGAATCACAGCGAAGGCGAGACCGGATAAAAATGACAGGCCAAGTTGATTGTACAGAAGATAGAGAGTTACGGCGAGTTGCAGGGGAATACTCCAGAGGGTGTGGAAGCTGGGGCAGCTGTTGACGATTCTGTCGGTGTCTGTGCTCATGAAATTCACGATTTCTCCAAAAGTGAATTCCTGATTGAGCCTGACGTTAGAGGAGTGAAGGGTTTTCCTGTAGACGAGGGTGACAACGGTGCTCCGGATCTTGAGTCCCACGACACTCATCCAGAAGTTGAAGTGAGCGATGGAGAAGGCCCCGAAGAGGGTTACGATGAACATGAGGGAGGCGTAGAGATAGCCGTAGGATACGGGCTTGTCCCTGTCCTCGATGAAGCCAACGAGTTTGTTGAGGATAATGGGTGTGACGAATCCAGAGCAGTCGGACATGAATTTCAGGATGCCGACTGCATAGAATTCCCATCCGAAGCACTTGTGGAGGAGTTTGAAGAGGGATATATTGTTGCTAGGTGGTGATGAGTGGCTCTCACCACCGGTGATTGAATCAGGATCGACGTAGAGTCTCGATCTAGGGCTCCTGATAAATTTATCGATCTGGTGATGGATGGAGGCTGTGCTGACGTCCTCTGGGAGATCGTAGAGCTCGTCGACATGCCTCAGGGTGCCCCTGACACCCTTCTCCATCATGGGTGTCACCCAGTGGAACAAGAGCCTCGAAAGGAAAGGATTGCCTTCCATAGCTGTTCCCAGGTAGTTGGGCTCCTGGTCGTCGACGAAGTGGATGTAGGAGTGCCCTGGGGAGTTCAAAAGGGCTGTATTCTCACCGATTTCTGTGTATCTGGAGCCTCGACCTCTGGGGCTCTGCCCAGAGGAGCTTGGGAGCAAGGTCAGAGCGTAGAGGGACATCAGGATGACAACTGTTATGCTGAAACCCAGGGATAGACCTGGTAATACGTCGTTCGAGGGTGGGTGCTTGATGTGAGTGCTCAGGAGGAGGACTGCGATGCCCATCAGCATGAAAATCAGGGCTCTGATCACCACTGGTCCTCGTAGACTCATTTTTGTACCTCGGGGAAGGCTCAGGACGAAACAGACGTGCACCACCCATGCTAGACCCTCTGTACCTGCTACGAGGTAGTCGATGGGCTTTGCTGATGTCTCCTCATTCAGGATGTCTGTGGGGATGAGCTCTTGACTTGAGCTTGTCACGTTACTGGCGGAGGGTATAGTCGTATTCGCGAGGATGATGTACGCCCGGATTATTGGTAGAATCGACAGGCAGACGGTTATTACGAGCCTCAGGGTGAAGGCACAGTGGGAAAAACGCTCATTGGGGGCTAGATTCATTCTTCTGCCACAGTGGTAGGCTGAGGCGATCGCCAAAAGGGCGAGGGTTGGAATCTGGAGGTACAGTTGTTGAAAGCATAAGCCAAGATCATTTGTGTCAGGATTCACTGGGCTTATGCTACCTCGGACACCACAGAGTTGGGTCCAATTCCATGTCCAGTGATCCTGGCCCAGAAAATCTGCAGAGCTCATGGTTAAACCCTTCCTGGAAATTCCCACCGATCAATAAATTCCAATAAATTCCAATAAATTCATTTAACTTTGTGGAGGACGTGGAGGTGAAATCCTTTACCTTTTGCCAAATATCAGCGACTTATTCGATCATTATCATTTTTAATTATCACCAGAATCACATTTCTGCTTTGTTCTCGCACTCGGTGCTATAATTATTATGATTCTACACCCAGGGGAATGGTAACTGCTGTCTACTAATCTTTGGTTGTCAATTATCCTTTCAAAATGAAGGTTATGAGTGCATTGTTGAGTGAGTCAGAGTGAATCTGCTGTGACTGCAATTGCGTTGTCATTAATTAAAAGAATTCACCGCAAAGGGAACCCCCGATTAACCGACATGAGGACGAATGACTGTCCTGAGACGATAACGACTTCCTCTGGGGGAAAATCAGTGGAAAATATCTCAAATGATGATAATTCCCTCGAACTAACCAAAAATCCGATTGAGGACGAGATATTGGATACTGTAGCGAATTCCCCAGCGATTTTCAAGAGTCAGCTGCAAGGAGATGCTGAGCTGTCATTGAATGAAAAACGAAAAATAGCTGAGGAGCTCCTCCGCAGGAATCACCACCAGTTCCTCTCGAGATTTGGTAAAAACTTGAGGCCACATTTGTTGGATTATTTCACTGAGAAGTCCAATGACTACGAGACGAACTACCACGTGGGTAAATTGAGGAGATATTTGAATACCGAGACGAGAAAAATCGACAGGAAGAACCGGAGGTACGAAGCTCTGAAGGAGATGCTGAAGAAGGGGGAGTATTTCAGTGAGACTGCCATGATGAAGAGGAATCCATTGCTGTATGAACATCTGATTGGGAGATTTCTCACTGAGGAGCAGAAGAGGGTGAGGGACAACCTGGACACCAAGAACATTACATTTGTCAATCTTTTGTTGGAGAGCATCGAGAGGGAGGGCCTCAGGGAATTGAAGAGGGCCCAGGAAGAGGCTGAGGAGGAGGTAATCGAGGAGAACGACTCTGATGAGGAGGACCTGGAGAATCGGGGGAATAATTGGGGGGAAATTGCCCCAGGGGGTGAGGGAAGTTACGAGGGTGAGGGGAGGGACAGGAGACGATTGGAGAGTCGTGTACCTGAACAGGTCGATACACAGGAGCAGATGATTCTCAGGCAGGAGTTCGTCAGTCAAATGTACGAGAGCTTCCTCGAGGGAAGGGACACTGATTTCGATTATAGGTATGAAGGGCTGGGGAATTTTTATAAATAATCCAATAATCATCGAGTAAATGATTAATTAATTGATGAATTAATTTTTTTAAAGCACCATTGACGATAACGAATCGTACGACAACGTAGATCTCAGGGAACAGGACGAGGAGGAAAGGTACTTCGATGCAGAGTCACCAGAAATTACAACAAGTTCTCCTAAAAACCCTCAGGATGAAGAGTCCGAAGATGAATTGGATAAATACATGAGGAGTCTAAAGGTCACTTGGCATTAATAATATGGATTCGTTTTTCTGAGTCTGGACTGAATCGTTGTTGTTTGATCTAGGGGCAGGAGAGTGAAGAGACTGCAACAGAAAAATGTTAATGAATACGAGAAAGTGCTGTAAAAATAAAACTGAATAAAATACTTTTCGATTATCATTTTGAATTTAAAGAGATTATTTTTTCCCATTTTCCCATATTTTAATTGGAAATAAAATAGAAAATTTATATAATAAATGAGATTATTATTAACTTCTACTGGGAAATTCGCATGTGATGTGTTTTATGTTTAATACTTTGGGAATTATTGAGTTGTTTTTCCCGTTTTCAACACGTGTCCATCGGTAATCGCAATGTGGCTCCAATTTCAATTACCGAATTAAATTACTACTGGCCAGCGCACAGACTATCCTGAATTAATCTCATTCAAAAACGAAATAATATTCCTCTACTTATTGCATATGGATTCATTAATTCCCCGGAGATCTGCACGTTTTTATTTTCTCATTAAAAAATACCCAGCATTTTGAGCTCAGAATTGAGTGAAGAGTAGTCATGGCACCATCGAAAGGGAAAATTCAGGAGCCAGGAAAGTGCCGTCAATTCATCGCAACATTAATAAGTATCCATTATTCCAATCGATCGTAATTCGATTAATCATTAAAATCATTAATAGTTCAATTGAATTCCCCAGTTAATTTAGCTTCCGTCACCTTTGGGGTGACCTTGGGATGGGTATCCCCGGTAATTCGCGATCTCCAGTCAGGGAAGACTCCAGTGAGTTCATCCCCGATGTCGAATGACGAAATTTCCTGGTTGGCTGGAGTCGTTTGCTTCGGAGCCGCTGTTATGTTGCCCTTTTGCAATTACATTGTGGAAGGATTGGGCCGAAAACGCACTGCCTACCTGATGATGATGCCCTTCCTCATCTCGTGGATCCTCACCGCCTTCGCGACGAATTACGTGACTCTTCTGGTGGCTCGAATTTTCGTGGGTGTCGGGGGCTCCATGTGCCTCCTCGTCGTGCCGATTTACGTCGCTGAAATCGCAGGGGACAGCATCCGAGGACAACTCGGTAGCATCCTCAGGTTCGCCTTCAACATTGGATTCGTTCTGGGGTACATCCTCGGTGCAGTTCTCTCGTATAAATTATTCGCCTTGTCTGCCCTCACGATGCCCATTGGGGCTGCCCTCGGCCTTTTATTTCTTCCTGAGTCACCGGTTTATCTCGTCAGGAAGGGGAGGATTACGGAAGCCACTAGGTAATTCTAGCGATGGGATCATTGACGTTTTTATTCAGTCATTGGTATTGAGGAGAAATTAAATTCAATTGCATCCCATTTTATTTAGGAATTTAATAAGAAATTCAAAATGGAAAATAAAAATTAATCGTTTGATGAAAATTTCTTCATTTCTTCACATGATTCTCGATAGATCCCTGATGTGGCTGAAGAATAATGACAAGATCTCAGTAGAATCTCAACTAGAGATGCTGCAGGCACAAACGCAGAATTCATCAAAATCCAAATCTCCAGGATTAAGAGATCTGTTCCGGGACCGGGCGACAGCTCGAGGCTTCATCATAGCTCTGGGTCTGCTAAATGCGCCAGCGACTTGTGGACTCTTCGTAGTCGTAAGATTATCTGAATAAAAATTCTCGCCTTCCCCTGGAATCCACAAGAATCCAACAACCTCCTGAATTTTTTTCCAGCTGACGTACACAGCAACGATTTTCCAGTTGTCCGGGAGTTCCTTGTCCCCGAATGCCGCGGCGATTCTGATAGGAGTGATCCAAGTGTTGGGATCTTGGCTGTCGACGTTGACGATGGACCGGGCAGGACGTCGAACCCTCATCCTGATATCCTCAGGTGGAATGATCATCTGCCACTGCATCCTAGGGACTTTCTTCCTCCTCCAGAGCCTTCACCACGATCTCTCCTCTTCCAGCTGGATTCCAGTAACATCAGTCTCCATATTCGTGATTGTGTACGGATTGGGTGTGGGTCCGGTCCCATACATCATCGCCACGGAGATCTTCAACCCGGACATCTCCTCCTTCGCCAACTGCGTCTGTCAGACGATCATGTGGCTCGTGGCGTTTCCCCTGATGAAGTTCTTCCCTCAGATCATCGACACCCTCGGCATTCACAGTGGCTTCTTCATCTTCGCTGGCTTCTGCAGCTGCACCCTCGTCTTCACCCATTTCCTGGTACCCGAAACCCGGGGAAAAAAAATACAAACCATCCTCGAGGCACTCGACGCACGTTGGCGATAATTTTTTTTTAATTCGTTTTCAGTTTTTCCGTGAATCGTCATGATCGATTGATGAATAATTATTCCGAAAGAAATGATGAAATCGGTGATACTGTAATCTTCCCAAAATCGTAATCTTCCACTAGTTCCTTCGAATCATTACTGTCTTATCTGTCTTCATGGTGACGCGATGGCATGTAAATAGTCTTAATAAAACAGAAAATTTCATGATGTCATTGAAACGTGTCGTCTACTATTTACTCCCAGAAGAGCATGTCCCTGTAGATTTAGACTTCACCCCGTTTAAATAGGGTATTAAATTAAATTTTTTCGATACCGATAGCAAGTGCAAATATTTCCATTCCAAATATGTATTCAGCGTCGCAGATAGTTGAGCAAAAATAAAAATTGTAAGAATCTAATACTGGAAGTGGAATGATACGAGATCGAATATGATAGCAATCGGTATCAGATCGCCTATTGAAACTAATTACCTCCGCACTTTTCACCAGGAACAAGCGACTTGTTTGTCAATTCTGGGGGTCGGATTCTTATCAGGAGTCATAACTCTGATTGATTTAATTGGGGATCATTGATACTTCAAGAAATTTTTATAGCGATATGTAAAAGGAAGATGACATTCCATCGACTGTGATTCGGTGAGTAATTATCAGTAAGTGAAGAAATGTCGGCGATACCTGAGATACCTGGGGATTCTGGCAAATGGCGTCAATTCATCGCGACAATTTTGAGTGAGTTATCATCAACGAAAGATTGATAAATTATTTATGTAAAATGGCGTAGGCAGAGGGGATTAATTGATAATTTCTAGAGAATAAAAAAAGAAATCTTATCATTTCACTGAGGAATTCCATCGAACTTGTATGATATTTCTATTAAAAAATTCAATTTCCTTCTATTATTGATTTTCTCCATTAATTTATCATTTTAATTTTTTTTACGGATCATTATGTTGTGGGGAATTAATGAAGATATCGTGGGAAACAATTGGAATATAATGTTGTGCGTTGAAAAAAAAAATAGTGAACCTGGCGGTGCTGGGGTGTGGTGTGAGTATGGGATGGAATTCCCCGATGATTCCTCATCTTCAGAGTGATGATACCCCAGTGGGCAGCAGTCCGATGACTGATGACCAAGTGTCATGGCTGACTTCGGCGATGCCCTTGGGTGCTTTGATAGTCCTTCCCTTCTGCAGTGGAATGGCTGAGCACTTCGGGAGGAAGATCACCACGTGTTTTGTCGCTGCACCCCTCGTTGTCTGCTGGGTCCTCACGATTTTCGCCACAAATTTCACGTACCTCTTGTTCGCGCGATTTCTCGCGGGTTCTGCGTGTGCCCTCGGCTTCTTCGTTGTTCCCATTTACGTCACCGAAATCTCGGAGGCAAGTGTCAGAGGACTTTTTGGCAGTCTTCTGCTCTTCTCCTTCAGAATTGGCATCGTCGTGGGGTATGTCCTGGGGGCTGTTCTATCGTACCGCATGTTCGCTTTTTGTGGTCTGGTGATTCCCGCTATTTTCCTGGGGAGCTTCGTCTTCATGCCGGAAACCCCGATTTATCTCGTCAGGAAGGGAAAAATTGCGGAGGCCAAAAGGTAACGACTAGTAAAAAATATCGAGTCGAATAAAATTACAATGAATTTTTGGTCTTTCCTCTGGAATTTTGTTAGAATATTTTATTTTTCTATTTGTTGAAAAGAAAATAGATTGTCATTCAGGAAATTTTCGGTGAAAATAATTTTTTTTGGTCTCAGGTCGCTGATGTGGTACCGGAAGGAGAACAAACCGATCGTCGAGGACGAACTCAGAGGACTCCAATCACTGAACAAGGAATCCCTGGACGACAGCGACTCCGTGGGCTTTAGGGACCTGTTCAGAGACCCTGGGACCACCAGGGCATTCATCATCTGCGTGGGACTCGTGACAGGACAGGAATTATCCGGAATATCGCCGATGGTGAATAAATATCTAATGTCCACAGTCTGCCGACGGTTTTTGCGTTACCAGGAAGTCGAGAAAATTTATTAACAAAAAATGGAGATTTGCCAAGAATTTTTCCGACGTCTGCAATTCATTTCGCTCGCATTAATTCTCATTCAATGATCTCCGAGATTTTATTGATAAAACCATTTTAATTCACAACTCGAATATTGAGTGAATTACTAAATGAAGAATATCTCGGAATTAAAAAATGATACCGATATTTTCATAAATACTTTTCTGGTAGATTTTTGAATTCTCTAAAAAAAAAATCTTTACCAAAATATTGCTATCTCTCTTCAATTCTGATATATCACAAATTTGGAATGAAAAATGAAATCATCAGTTGATTTTTAAAATGATTCTCCTCAAATAATTTCCAGCTGTCGTACACCGCGAGTGTCTTCACCGGAGCAAATATTTCGATGTCGGCAAATCATGCAGCAATAGTAGTGGGTGGTGTCCAGCTTCTGGGCTGCTGGTTATCGTCAGTGCTGATGGATCGATTAGGAAGACGAAAACTCCTCTTCATATCCTGCGTGTCAATGGCCGTGTGTCACGGAGCTTTTGGTATCTTCTCACTGGTCAAATCGTACGACTACGACGTCTCCTCGGTATCGTGGATCCCAGTGATGGCACTATCAACTTACGGCATCATGTATTCCCTAGGGATGGGTCCAGTCCCCTTCGTCGTCATGTCCGAGGTCTTCGCCGCGGACATAATGAGTTTCGCCAGTTCAGTTGTCTTCGCCATGGGCTGGGCCTGCTCCTTCCTCGGGACGAAATTCTTCCCCCAGATCATCAGCACTCTGGGCTTTCACGGGTGCTTCCTTTTGCTCGCCTTCATGTGCCTCTACATCCTCGTCTTCACGTACTTCCTTGTACCTGAAACAAAGGGCCGGAGTGTCGAGTCCATCCTCAAAGAACTCAACGACGGCAAGAAGAGAAAAAAGAAAGACCCTTTCCCCGAGGCTGCTGTCGAAATGATAACAAAAAGTATAAATAGAACTGACTGAATGACTCCCGATATTCCTGATATTAGTGTAATTTGAGTATTGAATAAATTATTTTAGATGATAAACCAAACAAAAAACTCGACACTTTCTCCTATCAATTCATAATTAACGAATTAGAATCGCTTATTGAGTGACAATAACAATTAATTTCATGTTGTTGATCTAATCGTTTTTTCACTCGTCCAATTAATTTTATTTTTATAGCATTGTCGAGGGGCCTGGGATGAGCAATGAGATAGCAATTAATTAAAAGATTGCAAATTAATCAATTGTTCAAGTATTTTTGGACGTCTCGAGTTTTAATATAAATTTTGATAAGATTTAATCTATGACACTTGGAGCTGGGAAAAAACCGGTATCACTAAAAAATCACAGTTAACACCGTTGTAAAATATTCAGTATTGAATAAACACAGAGTAATCTCTCATATCAGAAGAAGTAATTTTTTTTCCATTAGTTAATGACTGCGTTGAAATATCGTGAGGTCATATCTTTCCATTAATGAGGGATTTTCGTCTTCAATTAGAGTTTTGTACGAGAGAAGGAGAGATTACTCTCAGATGGTGAGCGGCAAAATCTCCAGTAGTCACTCATCGTCGTGACCTGGTGGGATGGATATTGTGCTGGATGTCTAGGAGTTTCTTCAGTGGTGAATTAATAATGTGGGGGAATATCACCAAGATTATGCGCACTTGAGTGAGAAATACTATTTGTTGAATTAATGTTTGCAGTCTTTAACAGACTTGCGATAGTTCTTGACTCGATAAATCCAGTATCACTCCTTCATTCGTCTTCCTGACGATTCATGAGCTGGTGGTCGGCATGGAAAAATACAGTGGACAATGTGAATCCGGAAAATTCCGACAGTTCATTACGACTTTAATTGGTGAGTTGTAGAAAACAGTTAATTCCATTAATCCATTTAATCTGAATTAATACATCAAGACACCTGATAATAATATTATTTAATTGATATAGATAATGAATTTATTATGACTGATATTATATATTATTCTGTCATTATTATTCTCTTAATTTTCTGGAATTCCAGTGAATATCATCGCGTTATCAAATGGGATAGTGTTAGGATGGGCCTCACCGGTGATGCCCCAGCTGCGGACAGTTGACACCCCGGTGGGGTCAACCCCGTTGACGACCGAGCACATTTCCTGGTTGAACGGAGTGCTTCCCCTGGGTGCTCTGACCATTCTCCCCTTCTGCAGCATCATCACCGAGAAATTCGGCAGGAAGATAGCTCTCTGTCTGGGGGCTATTCCTGCGATTGCATGTTGGCTCCTCAAGGTTTGCGCCACTAGCTACACCTACCTTTTGCTGGCTCGTTATGCAGCTGGCATGTCCATGGCGATGCTGATGCTCATGATTCCCCTGTACATCGCTGAAATAACAGCGGACAGCATCCGAGGACAAATGGGATGTATTCTCCTGTTTGCTGTTAAGATTGGAATTGTTGTTGGGTATGTCCTGGGGGCGACCCTGTCGTACCGGGTGTTTGCTATCTGTGGACTCATGATGCCGATCGTATTCCTGGGGCTTTTCGTTTTCATGCCGGAAACACCGACTTATCTCGTCAGGAAGGGGAAAATTACCGAGGCCAAGAGGTAATTGGATTAATCCTGACAAAAATAATAATGAATCATTCCCATTTCGGATTTTAATTGTTTTTGTTTTAAATATTGGAGGTGTATTGGAAAAATTAATTAATGTAATCAATATCCAGATCATTAATGTGGCTGAAGAATAATGACGAGACAGCAGTGGAGCGTGAACTCCTTCACTTGCAGTCCCTCGTGAAAGAGTGCTCCAGTACAAAAAAATCTGTTGGCTTCCGGGATCTCTTCAGGGATCGAGGAACGACGAAAGGTTTTATTATTTCTCTGGGACTCCTCTGTGGCCAGCAGACGTCCGGTATTTTCGTAGTGGTAAATATACATTCCGTTGAGTTGTTCTCATTTATGAGGTAAATGATTTTTAAATCGAATTCTCATAAAATTTACTCCAAAAAAATCAGAGGAATTTCAGGATCACGAATTCCTCCCTAGGAAATCCCCGAGTTTCAGTTTTCTTCCTGATTTCAGTCCCAGTACACCGCGTATATCCTGGAGCAAGCAGAGAGCTCCTTGAAGCCGAATGCAGCGACAATTATAATCGGTATAGGGCAGATCGTGGGGTCGTGCCTGTCGACGATGACGATGGAGAGAGCAGGCAGAAGATCCCTGATCTTCATCTCCTGCGCAGGGATGTCAATTTGTTATACGATGATTTCCACGTTTTTGTTACTCCGCGAGTTGGACCTGAATATCTCGTCATTCGGTTGGATTCCAGTGGTGGCCCTGTCCGGGTGGTCCATCCTCTACTGCATCGGGATGAGTCCAGCACCACTGGTCGTCGCCTCAGAAATCTTCAGCCCTGATATCTCTAGCTTCGCCAACTCTGTGTCGATGGTCTTCATGTGGATCTGCGCATTTTTACTCGTCAAGTATTTTCCTATTGTCGAGGAGATGCTCGGCCTGCACGTCTGCTTCATATTACTGGCCTCATGCTGCATGGCCACTTTGGTATTCACTTACTTCCTCGTCCCTGAAACCAAGGGCAGGAACATCGAGTCGATTATCGATGAATTGAACGGCTCCACCGGGAAATTCGAGCAGAGTCGACGACTCGAGGCCGCCACGGAGATGATCAAGATCGATAAAAAATCCAACGTTTGAGATTACTCTTGACGATGATTTCCACGCAATCGTCCGTCCAATTTGTTGATAATTATTGATTTATAGGCGAAATCATTTTTAGTTTCGATTAAAAAATTTTAAGCTCCACTCAGACACTTGTCGTCAAGTTTAAAAGGAAGTTGAATTTTTTATGGAAAAACTATTTATTGTAAAAATTATCGATGATGAATGATTTTTTAGGAGGTGTCATTTTTTTATCACTGTCGACCATTTCTTGACGAATTGGTATTTCCATCGACTGATGATCACCCAGAGGTTTAGATATTTGTAAGTGGATTAGAGGAATGGGAAAATAATTTAATTAACTCAGGACTTAAATATAAAAATGTTCGGATAAAACTCCGAGTAAATGCAGTTTTATTACCACAATTTTACATGGCATGTGAATAAAATTGAAATTTATATTTAATATTATAATAGATTCAGTCGTCATCCAATCGTTTTCGCACACTTCGATTGCCAAATTTTCTTTTTTTGAAAGAGACACCGGAGCTCTCGTCGTCGCTGTCTCCAGTTCTCACTTGAGTCACAATTTTTTCTTTGAAAGTCCTCTGGGGTAGGAAGGGCTCAGGTTCCTGGGGCTTCGGCACCTGGAACACCTCCCTCTTCTGCGGCAACTGCAGGTCAATTTTTTTCTTCGGACTGGACCCCCAAAAAAATTGATAGAAAAAATGTGTTGATAATGTTAATAATAATTAATAAATAGTGCTGAGAAATCGAAAGAGATCTAATAGAAAATTATAATTGGAAAATAAATTATTGTGTGTGATGGGAAATATTTACAGGACTTCGACAGTCTGCCAGGGTCCATAGGGATCGACTTTATCAGGAACACTGTAGTCTCTCCTGTAAGGGATCTCTTCAGTGGGACCTTCTGTCCCCTCGTCCTCGCTCTTCCTCGGTTGTTTCCTCAGCTCCTTCAACCGCTCTCGTTCGGCGTTCGCCCTCTGTTCCTCAATCACCTCAGCCCTAGCTTTGGTCTCCTCTTCCTTCAATTGCCCCAACAGCTCCTCCTGGAGTGCCTGCTCTCTCGCCTCTTCCTCCTGCTCTCCAATCGTCATGAAACCCTCCTCAGGCGGCTCCCACGTGGTTTCTAATAACCAATAAACCAGAAATAACGACATGATCAATAAAAAATAATTGTAAAATCAATGAACAGTCGATTAATCCAAATTTCTAAAAAACGATAAATCCAAAAATCTATTGATTTGAGGAGAAAATATAAAGAGATCTTTTTTGTTGGAAATTCGGTGAGCTAGAAAGAAGTCCTTTGAAGGTTACTCTCAAAATCGATAGCTTCTGAGATAATTTCAAAAACATACCATTGGTCTCCGTGTGCCAGTAGTAGGTGAATCCTTCGGGACTGTGCGCCTCGTACCAAAGTTTCGGAACAAGATGCCTGTTGGATTTATCCCCCTCAGACTCCCTCTTGCCTTTGCGTTTCTCCCTGCTGGTTTTCGTCTTCCCCTGGGTCTTGTTCTCACTTGAATTACCACTCGAAGAAGGATTCGATGTGCGCGCCTGAGCCCTGGCCCGATGGAATGTCGTCGGGTCGCAGTAATCGATATCCGCTGGAAGCTGTTCACGATTGAATTACTTGATTAAGTCAAACATCATTACCCGGAGTAATTGAGTTAATTTTTGGGAGGTAAAGGGATATTTTCTCACCCCTTGTGGCCTCTTGTGACGGGGATTTGTGTCTGGAGAGGCCGCCGGCATCTGATTCGGGTTATCCTCCACCTGCAAGTTGACAAGTGATTATACAGCTTTCGTAGAAACTTTTCAGCTGATATGATTGATGAGTTTGGAGATAGTTACCGCGAGGGCTTCAGTCCGATCCCTCTTATCTCGGATAATCTGTTGTGCTGTCAGATCTGCCATGTTACCCTCGACGTCCTTGAGGTAAGCTGCCATCGCCGCCTGAAGAATCATAATTTACCGGTAAAATTCAAGGCTTCAGATATTTCCCTCCATTGCGAATTAATGAAAAAAAAAATGAACAATCCACCAAACCAAACAAATAAAATAAATCCACGTGGAAAACTGAAAAAAAAACTGGAAATATTTGACAGATCTAAATTTACGTGAACGATCTCGCATTTTTTTACTGGGAAATTACATGACGTTACCTTATTTTTATTAATTTTATTTTTAATTCGGTCGTTTGGTATGAGTGTTCTGCAAATGTCGAGTTAATCATTCATGAAGTGTAATGATTTTTTATTGAAGAATGTATCGATGTTTTATGAATTGCGCGTGAAACGTTATCTTACGTTCTCCATGTTTTTGAGATCATTCTCAAATTTCCTGGTCTGCTTCGCCTGTTTTGCGCTGTTCTTATGGATTTCCTTGAGCCTCTTGGTGACGTTCTCCTTGTGCTTCTTGCCACCCTCGTGAAACTGAATACTCGGTTTGTTGTCGGCAATCCAGCACTTGCAGAAGTCGCAGAATTTTCTACCCTGGGATTTCCAGTAATCCGCCCTGAAAAAGACGTAAAAACTGAGTAAAATTTCTTATCAGGTGGCACGTGGTTGCAGAGAGTATTCTCTGGGTCATTCCAGACGACAGCTCTCCAGACGACTTCTCCTGGATATGAAATCGTAAAGACGATTCAATCGTAATATTATTGATGCAAATTTTTACGGATTGCACTTGGAGGAATGACTGATTCCACTCGTGACACGAGTGATAAATTGGATTACAATTTAATACACGTCGTTTCCTGATAGTGACCTTTCCCTCTGTATTTTGCATGAACTTTCAACTTTCACTGCAGTTTCCCTCGTTTTTACGATTTTTCCCGAAGCAATTGCGCGAATTATGAGCCGTTGAAAAATAATCGATGAGAGCACCTCGGGAATTCCCCGAAAATTTTCTCTCGCAATTAGTAATCGATTTAAAATAATCAATAGGTTCTTTCCGTTACGAGTTTTTCTTGCTTTTCAATTTTCCATAATTTCCATGAGACGTTTTCACTCTTCGTACGTATTTTATTTTAATGCCGTAATGAGACAGTTGCAATTACCACCGGCGCCCGGGTAATTCAATATGATGGTTATTGTTATTACTCAGTGCTAATCAATATTACCCAATACTAGTTTCATGCGTCGGTTTCCACAATGTTTGAAAATTGATTGTATCGCGGTGGATTTAAATTAAATTGAATTAAATGTCACCATGGAGGAAAAAATTACCAGAGAATCTGGGGAGCAATGTTACGTTGACGTAACATACGTTATTCACGTCGTTATGTGTATGGCAACGAGTACACGCCGGGGGGTACTTGTTTTCCAGAATCATGAGCCTTGGAAGCCCGAACTTGTCAACCGCAGCTAGTACTCCCCCATTCCTAAACAATTTCCATAATTCGTCGTATTAATAGAAAATAATCACGTGCAATTATCTCTTACTAATCCGACATTAAATTTGAATCCACAGATATTTACATTTTTTACGCTATCTGTGTTAATTACAATTATATTGAAAATTGAATAAAATTGCGTTTTTTTGTTGAATGAGAATTTATTTTTTAATTATTGAAATAATTGTGAACGAAATGAGAGGGAATAAAATTTTTTAGGAGGCAGATAACGAACGAACAACAAACATGTCATGAAAAATATTAGCAAGACCTTGAAGCTAGGGAAATTAGGTGGTAATTAGTGGGGTATTTACAGGTGTACTGGACTCTAAGAGTGAGTGAACGTGTTAAAGGGCATGTGAAGACCCCCGACCTTGCCCCCAAGGACTGAAACTCTCGCAGTTGCAACCACGACATCAGAATTACGAGATCGATTCTTCCCGAATGGCAAATGTTCATTAATTATTCATTCCGAGCAACAGGTTTCTGGAATTAATTGATCGCACAAAGAATCAGCGGATTCTCAACATTCATTGTTGCAGACGAAAAGAATGCGGATAATATCGTTTTTATTTCCAGCAAATTGGATGCATCTGAATGCAAATAAAAAATTGGGAAATATTTTAGATTTGTACAGAGGGTAGAGAAAAATTAATGGTTAATTATTTTTTTGTCGATTGTAGGGACTGCAGGTGATCATTTGATAATTTCCAATGACGCATTAAATGTGGGGAGAAGGTTTCATTTTAGAGGATGTTGTCATCATTTTGGAGAATTTTTTCTGAGGGAAGAGTTCGTCGCATGCGGATGTGAAATAATTACTGTAATTGAAGTGGTGGGGTATTACGGTACGTCGAGGGAGTAATTTTGGATGTTTCTTTGGTTTCATATTCAGTATTTCAGTTTAATCGGGAAGTGGAAGGACTCAGAATGTCCGAACCCCCGGCTCTGGGTCCGCGAAAATGGCGACAATATACTGCGGCAATAACTAGTAAATAAATAAAAAATTTTTATTCAATATACCGAAGTAATAAAGTGCGATGAGTAGAATCTTTCATTTTGTGCCGAATTATCTCAAGAACCATCGATTTAACGAAAAAATATCAAGAGTCATTTTTTGCAGCTAATTAAATTTCGAATAATAAAGATCCTCTACCATTTTTCCTGAGATCAATAGTCCAAGAGATAAATCGATGCTGACTTGTTTATCGATTTGTTTTCACGTACAACCACTCAATAATCACCCGATTGTTTTTCGCAAAAAAAATTCCAGTAAACCTGTCAGCGGTGGCAACAGGTTTGTCGATCGGTTGGACTTCACCGACGATAGCACATCTGCAAGACGAGAAAACCCCAGTTCTGAACGAGTCCTTGACTCAGGACGAGATTTCCTGGGTGACAGCGATTTTCTGCGTCTCCCCGATATTCCCTCTGCCCCTGTGCAATCCTCTGTCTGATAAATTTGGTAGAAAAATATTTGCCAGCCTGATAGCAGTGCCAGCAGGATTATCCTGGCTCCTGACAATCCTAGCGAGGGACCTGGTTTGCTTGGTGATCGCCAGAGTCCTCGCTGGCTTGGCTGTTGGCATGACAGTATTTATTGTGCCAATGTACGTCTCTGAAATCGCCAGTGACGAGGTCCGAGGTGTTCTCGGTAGTTTTCTGATGTTCGCCCTCAACATTGGAATCCTCCTGGGGTTCGTCTTCGGTGTTGCCATGTCCTATCAGATGTTCGCCATTTGTGGACTCACACTACCGATTTTATTCGTCTGCGCCTTCGCCTTCATGCCTGAGACACCGATTTATCTCCTGCGGAAAAATCGTCACGATGCCGCGACAAGGTCACGTTTTTTTCCATGAAATCCCTGATTTTTGTAGGTGGAGATAAATTTATTGAGAAAATTATATAACAGATTGTCGCGCACTCGGGAAATTGAGAGTTTGATATGAATCGATATTTTTTCATGGAATGGGACCTGAATTTTTATCCTGATTCAGTCATCTTTTTCAGGTCCCTCATGTGGCTCTGGGACAACGAAAAAATGATAGTCGATCGCGAGCTCCTGAAGCTTCAGGAAACCCTGAAAAAAGACGAGAGGTCCGGAAAATCCGTGAGCTTCCGTGATCTTTGGGGGAATCGTGGGACCACCAGGGGTTTCTTGATAGCATTGGCTCTTCTTCCTGGACAGCAGACTTCAGGAATTGCCGTTGTCGTACGTCAAATACCTCAGACGAAAAATCCCCGCGTTAATCATCTCCAGAGGGGAAATTTCATCAACTTCCAATTAATTTTTAATGTTCCAGTTCATGTACACCGCGACTATCTTCCGATTGGCGGGATCATCCCTGGACCCGGACTCTGCAGCAATAATTTTGGCAGGGATGCAGGTGGTGGGATCACTCCTGGCGACGATGGCGATAGAAAGAGCTGGAAGAAGACCTCTTCTTCTGATTTCCACCGGAGGAATGGCTATTTCCCACGGTTTCCTCGGTGTATTCCTTCTGCTCCAGTCTCAGGGCCACGACATCAGCTCCTTCAACTGGCTTCCCGTTGTTATTTTATCATCTTACACTATTTTTTACTGCATCGGGATCGGTCCAGTGGCATTTGTCGTCTCGATGGAGGTCCTCACCCCTGACATCGCAGGTCTCGCCAACTCTCTGGCTGTTGCCCTCATGTGGATCATGTCCTTTGTCACTGTCAAGGGTTTTCCTGTCACCAGCGAGGTCATTGGAAATTATGGATGCTTTTTTGTGCTCGCGGTCTTCTGCTCGTGCACTTTTCTGTTCACATATTTTTTCGTTCCTGAGACCAAAGGGAAGACCATCGAATCTATAATTGAAGAGCTGAATGGGGGAGTCCAGTCGACAAAGAGCGATATGAATAAAGAACGTACTGCACCTTGAGGAGTATTTTAACGATTTTTTTTTACTCCCCAAATTTTTATTTTAATCGTGTGAATGTTTTATTTAAAAATTCACAGAAATGTAACGTGAATATTACTAATTATTACTAATTATTTATTGAATTCAAAGGATTTCATTGATAAACATTTCTGCTCTTTCTCGAAATAGCAATAAATTTATTCATTCCTAGAATTTATTACTGGTGGATTCGATAATAAATCTTTCCTGCAGTGGAATTTTTATTCAGTAACTCCTGAATTTTTTTGGTATCAATTGGCATTCTCTGGTAAATCCCCAGGAATTTTTAAAGCTCCATAAATTTACCAGAGAACTTAGAATATTAATAATTGAGCGATAGCAATTGAGATGAGAATTCGCGAGGAAAATAAAATTCCCACGTGACACTCCATATTCATGAAACAGCCAGTTGTCAGACCCCGCCTAAAGTTTCAATAATTAATCAACAATCAATAACACAAACTCGAGCTAATGCTCTCCACCTGGAAGAATGCGGAAAAAATGATAATTACTGCCACTACCGTAACCGGAAAAATTGTAATTGTATTCTTGTTGAACTGGTGGGGGTAAATTAGACATACCCACAGTTGAATTGCACATATATAGCAATGAACTTGAACAGCAAAGAGTGCACGAGACGAGGAAGTCTCACTTCATGCAGTTTGACGGGTTGCGCAGTGAAAATTACAATCTAATGAGGTAAATATTTTCAAAAGAGATTCGGAAGATAGCGCGCGAGGAGAGGGAAATGTTCATATAAATCGTCCCCATAGTGCTTATCCCCAGTGCAAATTCAAGAGGACAAAACAAAACTCAATAAGTGGAAGATCTCAAGATGTCTAAAATTCCGGACGAGATTTCTGGTACATGGCGACAGTACGTCGCAGCGCTGACCAGTGAGTTTAGGAATTTAATGTTTGAATTAAATGTTTGAATTCCCTCCAAAAATAAATTAAACAATTCAATATTGATCATTACCCCATTAATTGATTAATGAGTAATTTGACAAAAATTCTGATTGCAGTAAATACCGCGACGATAGCCACGGGAATATCGGCGGGCTGGACATCCCCAATGATTCCTCGTCTTCAGGCTCCAAACACTCCAGTGGGTGACGAGCCGATGACACTAGACCAGATATCCTGGTTAACGTCAGTGACGTGCATAGCTCCCCTGTTTGTCCTCCCACTGTGCAATTTTTTATCGGAGAGATTTGGTAGAAAAACCCTGGGCTGCCTGATGGCAATACCGATGGGACTCTGCTGGCTCCTGACGCTCCTCGCCACCAACTTCACATTTCTCCTTATCGCGAGGATATTAGAAGGGATGGGCAACGGAATGATCGTCTTCCTCGTGCCGATCTATGTCACGGAAATATCCAGCGACGACGTCCGAGGGAAACTCGGAAGTTTTCTAGGGGTTGCAGCGAATTTTGGACTCCTCCTGGGATTCATTCTAGGAGCTGCGATGTCTTATCAGATGTTCGCCATCTGCGGGATGATTGTGCCGGTGGTGTATCTCGCTGGGTTCTTCTTCATGCCCGAAACACCCATCTATCTTCTGCGAAAAGGGAGGAAGGAAGAGGCCACCAGGTAAATCCCAGATATCAACCTGAATAATCTCTATCGTTATTAAAAATTAAATGGAAAACCATTAACATCTATAGATCTTTGATGTGGCTGAGAAATAATGACCAGATGACAGTTGACAACGAGTTGCGTCGGCTGGAGAAAATCCTGGAGGCAGAAAAAATCGTCTCCAGGAAGGCAGTGGGTTTCAGGGATCTGTTCAGAGACCGTGGGACTATTTGGGGTTTCATCATAGCACTTGCGCTCCTACCAGGCCAACAAACATCTGGAATTACTGTCATAGTAAGTAATCCTGGTGTCAATGAAATCGATGACAGCTCGATCCAGCGCTTTATTTCCTCAGATTATTCGATTATCGATCTGACATTTTAATTTTTATTTCCAGTTCACGTACACCGCGACAATCTTCCAGCTGGCGGGTTCCTCGATGGCACCGAATTCCGCAGCAATAGTCCTTGCCATAATGCAAGTATTCGGATCAATTCTGTCAACGGTCACCATCGAGAGAGCTGGAAGACGATTCCTCTTGTTGTTCTCGTGCGCCGGAATGGCAGTCTGTCATACCCTCCTTGGATCATTTTTTTTACTACAATTTCTCAATTATGACCTGTCACTTATCACCTGGCTACCAATCGTCATTCTGTCTTGTTACACGATAATATATTGCCTTGGGCTTGGCCCTGTGTCATTCGTCGTCGCCAACGAAGTCGTCAGCTCCGATGTCTCGAGTCTCGTCAACTCCGTGGCAATGTCCCTCGTCTGGATCATATGCTTCATCGTCGTCAAGGGATTTCCATTCGCTCGTGACGCCATTGAGAGCCACGGATGTGCCTTCATCCTCGCCATCTGCTGCACCTGCACCTTCTTGTTCACGTACTTCGTCATCCCCGAGACCAAAGGAAGACCCATCGACTCCATCCTCAAGGAGCTCAACACTCCCCTCAAGCAATCCGAAAAGATTGATTACGAATTTTCAACCAAAGTTTAGCGAAATCATATCAGCTATTTATTTTAGTAATTCATCTTAGTCTTAAGTGAATTGTGATATTATCATTAAATTCATCATCATCAAGTCAACAGCGAGTCATTGGTTCATGATGCGGGGGATTGTTGGACTGTAAATTTATTTGAAATAAAATAGGAAAACCTCAGTTTCTGGTCATTTGTTGTTGCAAACGACATCCTGTCATTTGATTTGATTGATGATCTTGGTTGTTGTACACTCGCAATCTGGAAAATTTCCTCACCATTTATTCAGACATTTCAATTAAATCATTGTCGCATGGTCAACAGTCCGTCCCCACTTATTAATTGTTTACATTTCCCCTCGCAGACTTGCATAAATGCGACTGCATAAGATGAGGATGGACACTACTAATTTTCCTCCTGCTTGACAGGTTTCGTAATAGCAATTTAATCACATAAATGGGTTTCCCACTCCTGAAGGTGAATTTCCAGGTGCATCGTATCGACGCAGACAGTGGGTCTACGGTGCGGCTGTTACGCAGTAATAATTTCTTATCGCCTTTGTGAATAACGTATTGAAGGGGAGAGGCAAGTAATTAGTGAAATTACCTTGAAATGTCTAAGAGTTTAAGAAAGGCTTCAGGAACGTGGCGGCAGTACACTGCAGCGGCAATCAGTGAGTTGATTAATCAGAATATTAATTATAAAACGATGAGACAGCCTAAAACAATGTGAGACCGAAAGACTCCAAGAGTTTGGAATGTCCGGCTGAATAAATCCGTTGCGAAAAATTCCAGTCAACATCGCAGCTGTTTCAACGGGTGTGTCAATCGGTTGGACTTCACCAGTGGTTCCCCAGCTCGAAGGGCCAACCCCTCCAGTCGGTACTTACCCAATGACCAAGGACCAGATATCCTGGTTGACATCGATATTCTGCATAGCAGCCTTGATAATCTCCCCGGTCTGCAGCGTCTTGTCCGAGAAATTCGGCAGAAAGATCCTTGGATGTTTGATAGCAATTCCCCTGGGCTTGAGCTGGCTCCTGACAATCCTCGCTCAGGACTTCAGCTGCCTCCTCATCGCGAGAATCTTTACCGGTTTCGGCGGTGGCATGACAATTTTCCTCGTTCCCATCTACGTTGCCGAAATAGCCACTGACGATGTTAGAGGAAAACTCGGGAGTTTCCTGTTATTCGCATTGAGCATCGGCATCCTTTTGGCATTCGTTCTCGGTGTAGTGATGTCTTATCAGATGTTCGCGATATGCGGTATGATCTTGCCGATTGTTTTCATCAGTGGATTCATGTTTATGCCGGAGACACCGATCTACCTCTTGAGGAAATGCCGCACCAAGGAAGCTGAGAGGTGAATCCATCATGATCGAACTTTCTTCGAGTTGACAATTCGATTGCCTTTCGATTTCCTTCCGCAGATCTCTGATGTGGCTGCGGGGTAATGATAAGACAGCGGTGGATCGAGAGATCGTTCAGCTGATGAAGATTATTGAAGATGATTCAACTTCTGCCAGATCTATAGGACTCAGGGATCTGGTGCGCGATCGGGGCACCATCAAGGGGACACTCATCGCTTTTGCTCTTTTGCCTGGACAACAGGCATGCGGAAATTCTGTCGTGGTGGGTTGATCTTATGATAATGATTCGGTGATTCATCGAATCATTAATCCTTCACATTCACTTTCAGTTCATGTACTGTGCGACGATCTTCCAGTTGGCGGGATCTTCACTGAGTCCAAATGCATCAGCTATAGTTCTCGGAGTGATGCAGCTGGTTGCAGCATTTCTGTCAACAGTGACAATTGAGCGTGTAGGCAGACGATTGCTCCTCTTGATCTCCTGTGGTGGAATGGCCATTTGTCACGGCCTCTTGGCACTTTTCTTTCTCCTCCAAACCTCGAATTACGACCTGTCCTTCTTCAGATGGACTCCTGTCATCGTTCTCTGCTTCTTCACAACTCTCTATTCCATTGGTCTAGGCCCTGTGGCATTCGTCGTAGCGACTGAAGTCCTCAACCCTGAAATCGCAGCCCTCACCAATTCGATCGCCATGACCCTCACCTGGACCATCTTCTTCACGGTCATCAAGAGCTTTCCGCTGGCTAGTGGTTTGATCGGTAGCTACGGCTGCTTTGCTATCTTCTCATTCTGCTGCACTTGCACTTTTTTAATTACATATTTTCTCGTTCCTGAGACGAAGGGAAAACCCATCGAGGCGATACTAAGAGAGCTCAATACTCCAATGCAAAAACCGGGAGATGATAATTCGAATATTGATTCGATTGAGATTAAATAGAAAAAAATTTATGAAGATCCAACCATAAATGTAACTGATAATAATCCTTTTCAGAGAAGGAAATCTTTAATTTGAGTACTGGGATATTATTGTATTGTTGTTGTATTACTATTTTATTATAATTCTATTGAGATTTCAGGAGATGAATCACTCGAAATTCAATATGGAAGTCCTGAAATATTTTCGATCGCAGGTTTTGCGCGCAAATATTTTTATCAAGCACAATGTGAGCATGAAGCAGCTGCTTTCGTTGTTCCATCTGAAGTGTTCATGATACACGAAAGATATCAGAATGTAAAAGCTATATCTGCACTCTTATTGGTTTTGGCTTGAAGGAGTAACTTCCTTTGTGCGTCGCTCTGATTGAACTTTCCGATTGTTTCACTATTTCGTACCGATCGATTGAACTCAATCGAATGTACAGAGAGAGAAAAACGGAAAATTCGAGCTATGTGAAGTTGGCATCGAAGTTTGAAAAATCTAACTTTTTTTTGTTGG